GAATCTGAAGCAGGCTCCAGGCTCTGAGCGGTCAGCATAGAGCCGGACGTGAAGCTCAAACCCACAAACCGTGAGATCACGACCCAACCAACTGGGCCACCCAGGTGTCCCATAATATCATCTTAGTTTTAAGGAAGCTAATTAGGATCTCCGGATGGGAATATTAAGAATCTTACCTTTATAAAAATCATATATAATTTTATAAACACTTATAGCTAAAATTAGCATAAACGCCAAAGAACCAACAACTCACTGACCTAACAAATTAAAAACGGGCTCTCGAAACAAAAAAGTCAGTTTACCTTTAATCTTCTTGTACTTCTTATACCATCTCCCAAACTCCTGGCACTTGGTTGCTGACACGTTGGCATAATATGTGCTATTTACAATGGATGAAATCATACTCTGAAAAGGAAAAATATATATAATAGTTAATTTTTTTCATAAATGAGTACTCCTTTTGGGGGATAAGAAAGGGCAGATTATAGCCCACACCAAACTCCGTTGTCTTTTAAATCTGAAGTAGTCACCCTCATGCAAACTAAACTATTAAACATCAAATACGACGACCCAAATTTACTCTTTCTTTAACTTGTACGATGACAGTGCCTTCTCCAAAAAAACCAAACTGGGGGCAATGTCAAAGATGGAGGAGGCAGGACATACAGATAAAACACAAGGGGAAAAAACAGTTGTGTTTTAGGAACCAGAGTGAAAGGTGAGATCAGATGCTCCAGCATCGGTAATTCAGATAATGTCTTTCAGATGTTTCTGTTCTGCTTCCAACGGCAACAAGCTCACACAGCCAAGAATCTGAGAACATCCGTGCTACACACTGCAGAACAACATTTAGGGAAATAAGTTAAATTAATATAATTTATAGAAACGTGTGATTAGCACTTGTGTGAAAATTCACCAAATGAAAAAATTAACAGTGCTTATTTTAGAGCAGGAGAAACTAAACATAACACTTGCACTGTATTTCAACCAAAAATGAATCAAAGCTAAAACTTTCTGAGTGTTTAAGTACATGATTCCTTCTTGCTCTTCATCCCCTGTCCCTCCTCAGGTCTACCCTTTAGCTGATTTGTAATCGGGATGAAAAGGAAAAGGAAGAGCACAGAACCTGACCTACTGCTAAAAAATTAAATTATAATTGCACACCTTGAGTGAAATTTCCTACAGATATGTTTTCAGTCAATATGGCATGTTTGGACCAACATTTATGACAGATGTTAACTTACACCTGAATTGACTGTGATAATACAGACACAGATTTATACATAGATTTTTACTTCAGCAAATTCTGTCTAAAAGCAAATGGACATAAACTCAAGAGATCCAAATGACCTCTGTAAAGTTTTATATCTCGCCTTGAAATCCCATCTTTTTTCAAAAGATATGGGTGGAGCAGCTGAGCAAAATCTCAAAACTTCTAATGATATTTTTACAAAGTAGTGGAGATAAAAAAGATAACGATAAATTGAGGCAATAGTAAGTTATTTACCAAGAGGTTCAAACATCAGCAGACAGTACTGCATAGACTCCCATTTAAAAGTTGTGTCGGTGAGCCCACAGAGTCCTTCTTTTTCAATCACTGTCCAGTACTGGTGGGGGAGGGGAGTCCTAATTCAATTTACAGAAACCTCTTTGGCCTTTTCTACATAGCAGATGGCTAACCTCTCCCAGTTGCTGATCTCTAAATAACAATTCTGTTCTCTAAGTGGAGATAGTTAGGAAAACCATTTTTATCTGAGGATCTGAACACAGCCCTGGAAACACAAAGAGCCAGTATCACCTGAGTGTATCACAGAACTACCAGAGCCTTACCTACCGCCTTAGAGGATCAGTGGAATCCTAATCTTCCTGAGGCAGGGTTCTGCTCTGTGTGTTATTAACAAAGAAGTAAAGAAGTCTCTTGGCTAGCTGGGCTAGTTTCCTCTCTGGGCTGAGTTTTTCTCTTTGTCTGTGAAACCCTTGAGGACAGTGACTGTGTCTGTTTCATTCCCCG